GGCAGCAGCATCTCACCAAGCTGGGGGGACCCATGGGATGGCTGGGTTGGAACCTCCTTCCTGGGGAACTTGGCCATTGCTGGGCTGCCTGTGCCCTGGTACAGCATGACCCTGCTCTGGGGGGTCCAGGGGAACTGCCCTTCACCCTGCTCTTCACTGCAGGCCGGACCAAGGAGCTGAGCCCTGAGCGCCTGGAAAGGTTCACCCAGTTCTCCAGGGAGCAGGGCCTGATGGATGAAGAGATCCTCATCCTGCCCTGGACAGGTGAGAAGCAGCTGGGGGGGGCAGGGGTGGCAGTGGGGGGCTGGGAGTGAGATACAACCAAGGAGACAAGGAGACCCCCCTGGCTTGTTTCTGCCTCCCTGTGGAGCCAGTGTGGGTCAGCCATGGGGCGTCCCTCTGGGGAGTCCCTCGGGGGGTGCAGATCCTCAGTCCCTGATCTCTGCTTTCCTTCCTCCTGCAGACAAATGCATGGCGGATACTGCCTAGGTGAGTCTGGCCTGGGGCTCAGACCAGCCCAGTGGGAGGGCATGGGTTGTGCTCAGAGCCCCACCCCCCAGAGTGCCCGTGCCCTTCCATCCCCCCGATGCTGCACCTCTTGCTCGCCCCTGCTGGGGGCCCCTCACCCCATCCCCATGGGGTGGCTCTTTTGTTATGCCCATCCACTCAGCACGGGGCTGGCAGGGCTGATGTGTCCTCCTGTGTCCCTCCGTGTCCCCCAGCTCAGCTGCTGCCCCTCCCATCTCTTCCAGGCAGACCCACCACTGCTGCCAGCAGGAGCCCCGAGAGCGCCGGGACCCGTGGCCGTCCCGCCTGTCCCCGCCGCACCCCCGCACCGCAGCAGCCTTCGCTCCCTGGCTTCGTGCCCCACTCCTGTGCCCCCGCCCCATTAAAGCCCATAGAAAACCAGCCCTGCCTGAGAGTGTTGGGTCATCGTGGTGGGAGCCCCAGGGGAGCCATGGGAAGGGGGAAGCTGGGGTGGTGGGTGGTGCCAGGGGTCAGGGCTGATAGCTCCTGGCCGTGGGAACCACATGCCAAAGTGCTGCCTGGCCACCAAGCCTGCCCAGTCCAAGGAGAAGGGGTCCCGAGGGATTTCTGCTGCAGGAATCTGCCCCCCTGGGCTACTCCAGCCTCACCATCTCAGTTTTCCCTGGCAGCATGGGGATGGGGCAAAGGGCAATTGCAGGGGGGTCTCTCAAAAAATGTGGGGGCAGGATGGACATGAACCGGAATGACATGAGGAATATAAATGCTCCCACTCAGGGGCTGGGAGTGTGGGATGTGGCTCAGGCCTGGCCACCCACCTGCTCACCATGCCATGAGCCCAGACCCTCTCCAGGAACAGGTCCTGCTGTCCCCTCTGCCAGCAGCCTGGCCAAGCCACAAACTCTTCTTGGGAACATGGGTTGTGGCTCAACCAGCTAAGACACCAGCCCAACCATCCTCCTTGAGGCAGGATCCATCCCACAGCTACCAGACCCTGGGGCCAGTGGGCAACAGCCAGGAGTGGGGCACTGGGGGTACCCTCATTTCCCACCCCAGGCACAGCACTGAGCATGGGGCACGGCTCTGTTCGTAAAGTGCTCTGGGCTGGGCTGGCACAAGGCTGCATTCATCTGGGACTGAGTGATTAGAGAGAGAAGCAGACAATGCTGTCACCTAACACGGGTATGAGTTATCTCTGTGCTTGTGTAAGCTGTTGCATAAAGCTGGGGGGGCAGGGGGTGCTGCCAGCAGGAGGGCTATAAAGGGGGTGCAGGGGGAGGCAGGTCTGCAGCCTCTCCTGCCCCACAGCGAGGATGGCTGCAGTGCTGCGCAGCCTGGCCCTGCTCCTGCTCTGCCTGCTGCAGGCAGCTGCTGAGGTCCCTGTGCAGCCAGACTTCAGCACCGAGAAGGTAACGGCACAAGGTCCTGCCCGGGGCAGGGTGTCCCCACTGCCGCCCCCCACAGCTGGGCACCTCCAAGCACGCCCTGTACTGGTCCTGAGCTGACTCCAGGGAGCTTCCAGGAGAGCATGGATGCCCGAGCACAGCTGGCTCAGTCCTGGCTGGCTCCTGGTCTGTGGCCAGACCCTGGTGGTGTCGCTGCAGGGACATCAACACTCGGGGCCACGATGCTCCCGAGCGTGTGACACTTACCCAGGGAACATGGGCAAGATACTGCTCCCATCTCCTGGCACAGGGCAGGGCAGGGTGCTCTGCAAGCAGGTGGATGGCAGGTCCCCATGTTAGGCTGGCTGGTCCCCACAGAGGGTGGCAGGTCCCCCACTGCAGGGCAGGTCGCCATGGCTTTCCCAAACCCCTAGTGATGTTCTGCTCCAGTTTGCAGGGACATGGTATGTCGTAGCTGCTGTTTCCAACTGCCCTGTGTTCCTGAAGATGAGGGATGGGATGAAGTCATCCATCACCACAATCAGCTTCACTCCAGAGGGAAATCTGGCCATGAGGCTTGTCTTGCCGATGTGAGTACCTGCCCTGAACCTGTCCCTCTTGGGCCAGGCGACTCCTCTCCCTACCAAGGTGGTGTGGCAAGGAGCATCCTCCTCCCTGCCCCACGGTACCAGGTCCTGCCCATGCCCTGGCATGTCCCCTGGGCAGGGTGGGCTCTGCCCTGCACCCCCCACCCCACTGCCCTCCCACATGGCATCCACGCCCTTTGCCCGTTTCCATTTTCCCTTTCCAGGCTGGACACATGCCAAAGGATTGAGCTGCTCTACCAGCAAAGCGGGCAGGCAGGGCACTATGTGGGTATGTGTGGGCAGAAAGGGATGGGAACCTTGGACACCCTGAAATGGAGGGTGGGCATCACTGGTCCCTTAGGCCTGGGGAGCTGGGGGGTAGTGGGGAAGTGGTGAGAGGTGGTACCATGGGTGGGCACCGGGCTCTGCCCCATCACACAGGGGTTCCCTTCTCATACCTCTCTGGGGCAAATCTGGGGCCCAGGCCATGGCAGTGCACGGGCTGAGCCGCGTTACTCAACCGAGCTCCATCTGGGGTCTTTCAGCAGCACAGGAGAAGAGGGACCTGCGAGTGATGGAGACAGACTACAGCCACTATGCCATCGTGTACCAGGTGCACCAGAACGACCAGGAGGCCAGCACAGCACTGCAGCTCCTCAGTGGGTGTCGGGAGCAGGGATGGATGGGCACCCTCGGGAGAGATCCAGGCACTGGCGGGGAGGAGGGGCTGGGATCTCCACCACCACCCAGGGCCACCAACTTCAGCACCCAGTGTGCTGCCACCTGGGGAATTAGTTTTTGGGTGAATGAAACTTTACATGAAAAGAATCCCTGGCTGATTGTGGTTTGAGGTGAAGCCCCCCCTGCAGGGTGCCAGCCTGGCTGTGGATCCCCAGCCCCCCAAGCTGCCCCATACCACCCCAGGTGGGTGGGTCGCTCATCCCAAGGGGCTTGTGTCTCTTTGCTGCCAGCCCAGGGCATCTGTGGGTGCCCAGTGTCCACCCTGCACCTCCACAGCTTTGCCTTTGTCCTCCCCTGGGGTCCTGTCACTGCCCCATGAGAGCCAGACCTCATGGGACTTGCTGCTGGGCCCCCCACACTCACCAGCCCCTGCACTGGGTGTCTGCCTGCAGCAAGGAAGCAGGACCTGAGCCCCCAACTCCTGCAGAAGTTCAGAGTGTTCATACCAAGTGTGGGCCTGACCGAGGACGTGCTGACCATCCTGCCTAAGTCGGGTGAGTGCCAGGGGGGCGTGGGATGGCACCCCCAGCCCCTCTGCATGAGGAAATGGCATTGAGGGGTGCTCAGGACTCTTCCCATCCCATGCTCACCCTTCTCTTTGCTTCTCACCAGATGAGTGCACCAAGGACTTCAGGTGAGCCTGGCTGCAGCCAGCCAGGTCTCTTTCCTGGAAACCCCCCACCTGCCTCAGGCTCTGCCTCATGATTACTTTCCCCTGCTCTGTCTGTCTGTCCTGCCTCCCCACAGCTGAAGGGACTGTGTGTCCCCCAGACCTGGTGGAAACCGGGCTCTGCTCCCACTACCTGGTGCCCCTTCCCATCATCCCAGCCAGGCTCTGCTGGACCCTCTGCCCTCTGCCAGGATCACCCTTCACCCTCTGAAATAAATAGGTGCAGAAGCTGCCCCAAAGCTCAGTGATTTTATTGGCAGGAGCAGTGGTGCTGCCAGCGTCCCCAGACACCCTGAGCGAGGGCTCCTGGATCCAGCCTTTCCTCTCAGCACTCCCAGGGTGTTGGGGGCCCCTTTGCTGTGCTGTTTTCTGCACCCAGCACAGTGAGGATGAGGAGCAGGGGATGGTGAGGGTGTACAAGGGCAGGGATGGCAGTAGGGGAGGATGGAGCTGGGCTGAGCAAGGGGTCATGCAGCTCAGCTGAGCAGGCAGCAGGTCTGGGCAGGGTTAAGCAGTCGGGCTGCTGAGCCCTGCCTACACAGCTCAGCTTGTCCCCAGGACACCTTGACCCCTGCTCAGACCCCCAGGGCCACTGGGTGAGAGCAGGGATGTGCTGGCACTGCCCATGGTGAATGCACAGCAGGGCTGGGACCCCCCCATCCAGTCTCCCAGCCCCCTTTGTCCCCCCATCTGCCCACTGGTCAAGGTAGGACCGTGCTGCAGTGAGCCCTAAGAGCAGCATCCAGCCCCCCACCTCCCATGGGGTGCAGGCAGCCCCTGCCACCCCCCTGCCCTGTCCCCCTGACCAGAGCGGGGGTGTCTCAGTGCCCAGCCAGGCATGGGGCTGCAAGGAAACACCAGGGGCCCTCTTGGGAATGTGACCTCAAGAGTCCATCAGAGCCAGGGCACAGGACACCCAAGAAAGGAGGAGGTGACCTGTGCCACTCCAGACACATCCTGCTTTGTGGACCTCGGGTACCTCAGAGAAGGGGAGGGACCCCTCACGGGCACTTGGGGTGTGGGGTCGTGCCAGATGCGTTTGGGCACCATCCCAGTGGCAGTTGCCAGCCTGGCCAGGGGAGTGGGTCACCGAGCCCCTTTGTCACTGGGTGACAGTGCTGCCATGACCCATACCGGGAAGGACCTGGCTGCCCCTCCCGGCAGCCCTTTGGCAACCAGTTGGGAAACAAAAACTCTCTTTGTTCTTTCACAAGTGGGGAAAATCCTGAATTTCAGCACTTGTGCAACAGTTCCTGCAGGCCCCCTTCTCAGCCCCTTCCCTGGGCTTGCAGGCATTTCCCTTCTTCCGCAAGACCAGGCTGTTTGCCCCCGGGGTGATTTCAGCCCTGCTAAACCACCAGCTGACCCAAGCCAATGCAACCAGCACCCCCATGGGCTGGGCAGGCTGGTGATATAAATCCAGCAGCCCCAGCACCTCTCTCCATCCTGCTGGCCAAGGTGAAGGAGGCAGCTGCAGGATGAGGCCACTGGGGCTGAGCCTGGGGCTGGCCCTGATCTGCTTGCTGAGCACCAAGGCTGAGGACCCTGGAGCTACAGGGCTGGACAAGAACAAGGTGATCCACAGCATCCTGGGGAAGGGAAGGTGGGACCATAGCTCTGGTCACTAGGGTAGGCACTGGAGAGGTGTACGGACACTGGGGATGGCTGGGGGCCCCACAGTCACCCCTGGGAGCAGTCACCCAGGTCCAGCATAGGTACCCCAGAGGGATTTGGATGCCCAGAGGGAATGGGGTTGTCCCATGGCTTGAGGGTGTCCTGGCTCAGTCCCTGAGGAAGGGACAATCCTTGCCTGCCCCTCTGGGCTCACAGCCTGTGCTTGCTGCCAGGTTGCAGGGCAATGGCACATTGTTGCTCTGGCCTCCGACTCCGAGAGCTACCTCCAGAAGAAGGATGAGCTGAAGATGGCCATGGCCAAAATCGTGGTCCTGGGAGAGGGTGACCTGAAGATCTCCTTTGCAATTCCCACGTAAGTGCCAAGTGCTTTTCTCCATGGGCTTCACAGATTGATCTCCTCCCTGGACCTTCACCAGTGGGTCTCCATCTGGGAGCCTCTTCCCAGCACCCACCAAGGTCCTAGGCAGGGGGTGAGGTAGGACCACCAGCCCTGCAGTTTAAAAGAGGGGCTCAGGAGAGCTGCCTCATGGGGACCCCTTCTCAGCGCCACACCAGCCAAGGGCAGTCCCACCGCAGAGGCTGAGACATCCCACTGCTCCCAGCAGGGTGGTAAGGGACCCTATGATTAAAGCTTTCCCAACAGGAAAAACCTCATTCCAGAAGCCTGAGGAAGGGAAGGGCTGTGTGACCCCATGGGACAAACCTCAGGTGCCAGTGCTGTGTCCTGCCAGCTCAGGCACCCATTGCTCCAAGGGTGGCATCTGCCCCCCCCGCCCCGGCCACACATCCCTGAATGGCAAGTCCCACATTTGGGGTAGTGACCCTGAAGCCACCACCCCCAAGGGAGGGGAGAGGGGGTCACTTCACCCCAGCTAGATCATTCTTCCCTCTTTTTCAGCCCGGAGGGATGTAAGAAATTTGAGTCACTCTACAAACAAACAGGCACCCCTGGACAGTACTACAGCACCGGTAAGTGGGGCAGCCCAGACCTGGGTGAGGCACCTCCCAGCCTCCCTGCCTGAAGCAGCTGGTTGTCCCGAGGTACCAGGCCCCCAAGGGGACCTCTACTCAAGTCCTGTATGAGACACCCCTCTACAGACAGCTGCCAGGTCATGTCTGTGCCAGGGCTGGTGTTCCACCAGCGTCACAGGCCCCTCTACTCCCTGCCTCTGGGAACTTGCTCTGGGATAAGACACGTTCAGACCAGGCTTAAACCCTGGGGAAAAGCTGGTTCGTTCTGCCAAGGGGCTGGGGTTTATGTTCCCAAGGGATTAAGCAGGAACATCTTTCCACCATCCCCTGCCCAAGGATTAGCCTGACACTGGCTGGGCTACTTCAGAGTCTACAGTGATCATCTCTGACCCTTCTGTGGTCCCATCTGCTGCAACCTGTGGGCTCCCCCAGGCTCTCAGAGGAGCAATAGCCAGAAGAAAAAACGGGGGGAAAGACAGAAGACAGATGGGCTGGGTGGGCCTGGCCTGGCACCCTGACCTGAGAGTCCTCAGGAGGAAGTCGCTGAGTTTTCATTTTCCTCCATCTCCTTTTACAGACAGAGGCAACAAAACGGTGCAGGTGGTGGACACGGATGGCAAGACCTACGCGGTGGTCTTTGCCACCAGAGTGAAGGCTGGGAAGCCCCTGCACATGCTGAGGCTTTACAGTGCGTAGCCAGGGGTACCCCCATGGGAGGAGGGCTGGGACATGTTGGGGGGCTCAGGGTGCCCAGAGGCTGCAACCCAGATCCCTCTTTGCAGCTGCCCTCCTGCCCCAGGTGGGGCTGGGAGCGGGGCTGGGGCTGCTGCGTGTCCCTGTGTGGTGGGGCAGGGGCAGTGCTTTGGGGCTGGCAGGGGGGGCTCAGGCTTCTGTGCTCTGCTGGGAGGCCACAGCCTGAAATGGGGGGAGAGCAGGGGTCCTGCTGCAAGGGAGGCAGGAACGATGGGGATGGGAACCAAGAGAGTAGACACTGTAGCAGGGCCAGGACGTCTGCTTCATCCTGCCCCCCGGGAGGGGTGATTCCTCTGCCTGGCCACCACTGCTCTCCAGGATCTCCACCAGTCCTCCAGCCCTCTCACAGATACCATCACCCATCCCATCCTCGCCTGCTGCCCAAGAGATGCAGGAACAGGCCACAGCCTGGAGCTAACTTGGCTTGTTGCCTTTAGGCAGAACTCGGGAGGTGAGCCCCAAAGTCACAGCACAGTTCAAGAAGCTGGCAAAGGAGAAGAGCTTCACCGATGAGATGATCCGGATGCTGCCCAGGCAGGGTGAGCATTTCCAGGGGCAGCCTGGGCTGGCCAGGCTGTTACGAGGAGCCAGGACAGTCCGTCACTTCCACCACTCCATGGTCTGGGCTGACAGGAGAAAGTGCTCTGGCACATCATGGCTTAGACCAGAGGAGACCATGAGGTTGGTGAAGGGTTTAGATGGCATGCCTTACGAGGAGCAGCTGAAGGCACTTGGTATATTCAGCCTGGAGAAGAGGAGACTGAGGGGAGACCTCATGGCAGCTACTGCTTCCTCATTAGGGAAGGAGGAGGAGGAGGCACTGACCTCTTCTCTCTGGTGACCAACAATAGGACCCAAGGGAATGGTGGAAAGATGTGCAGGGGGAGGTTTAGGTTGGACATTAGGAAGAGATTCTTCACCCAGAGGCTGGTGGAGCACTGGAAGAGGCTCCCCAGGGAAGCTGAAATGGCACTGAGCCTGAGAATATTCAAGAAACACTTGGACAACACCCTCAGGGACATGATGTGAACTTTGGGGTTGTCCTGTTCTGCGGCAGGAGCTGGACTTGGTGACCAGGCTGTCTGAGGAGGTGGCTGAGCCACCATCCCTGGAGACATCTAAACAGACAGATGTGGTGCCAGAGGACAGGGTTTAGTGGTGGATGTGGCAGAGTTAGGGGAGTGGTTGGGCTCAATGATCTTGAAGGTCTTTTCCAAGCAGAGTGATCCAGTGATCCTGTGATTTCTGGGTTGTCTGTTTTGGGGGCTAAATGGGACCAGGCAGAACACAGCCCGGGACTCAGCCTTTCTCTTTGTTTCCACAGAGGAATGCAGCCTGGATGAGGTGTAGGTGAGTTGCTGCAGTTCAACATGGTGTATGTAATGTTCCTAGTTGGAAATTTCCCCCCATGTCCCAGCAAGGGCCACCATAAGCTCCTTGAATTGCTCTGGGGACTGAGCTGTTCACACCTGAGCTCTCACCCAGGTAGGACTGTTCCCTTTGCAGCAGGGACCCCAGGGTGCAACTGCCCATGCACTGAAAGGCACATGAAACAAATCCATGGGTTCTGTGGAGAAACAGCTGCAGAGCTCATCAGGGGAGGGCTGGGACACTGACATCTGCCAAAGGGACTTTGGGCTTCTGGGTTGGCAAAACCAGCCAGAGGTTGGGTTGGTGTCCCACCACACAAAATGTGGTTGCTGTTGGCCTACCTGGCATTGTTTTCCACCCCAGCAGCACACATTCAGTGGCAGAGGTTAGCTAGAAACCCATTGCTGGAGATGGCTCACCCTAAGAGCTGGGGGAACTGGAAGAGAACACACTGATCCTAGTGGAGGATCCTGCTGGTCCCTCTCTGTTGTCTGCCTCACCTCAAATACTCATCCCGCCTCTCCTGGCTGTTTTCTAGGAAGAGGGGCTGGCTGGTGAGTGTTCCACCTGAGCAATGCAAGACACAGGCTCTGAAGCTCCAGGCTGCTGCTCCACCATCCTTCTGCCCAGTTCCTACATCTCCTGCTCCTCTGGTACACAGTCCCTCTCTTTTTCCAAATAAACAGAAACCCTCCCCAGAGCCTGGTGTTGCTGTGTGTGGGGAACCTGGGGTGCTGGGGCATGTGGTCCCTCCTGCTGTCCTCCTGGGGTCTGTGGATGGTGAAGAGCCAGGGGCAATGCTGGGCTGAGCTGGCCTAGCTGAGGGTATTTTTGGAGCCCACCAGGTTTTTCTCTCCTGGGTGCCTCCTGTAAGGCAGAATCCAGGCAAAGGGGAGGGAAGGGTGCAGGGAGCCTGGAAAGCCTATGGGTGCAGGTTGCTGTGGAATTTGGCAACAGAGATCGAGGTTGGAATTTAGAGGGCTGTGACCACCACCCAAGTCACCTTCCCCTTGCTCGCCCCGCTGCCCTGGCCGCCCTCAGCCCCCAGGACCCTGTGTGTCCATCAGCTGGGCAGGGCCATGGCAGGGACAGGTCTGGGCTCTGGGAACCTTTCAGCCCCATGGGGCTGCTGGCTGGTGGGAAGTGGAAGGTGGAAGGTGAGTGTCTGAATCCTCCATACCCAACCTGCAGAGCTGGTGTGGGGCTGTAGGTGGTCTCTGCCCCTAAGCATCATGCAAAGAAAGCCCCCACTGGAGTCTGGTGCTGGTGGACATCAGCCTTCAGAGACTGTCTTCCTTTGAATTGAAATTACTGAAATCCCACGCCTTCCTTCCTTCCTACTCTGTCCAGCTCCTCACATCCACCCAGGAGAAACCACAGGCTGCCCATGGTAACTTGTGTCCCCAGGGAAACCCTGGTGCCTCACACGTGGTCATCTCCAGGGTTTGGCCAGTGTTCACAGGCATTGAGGTCTGGCAGGATATGAAGCAGCTTGTTCCTCTCCTGGAAAAGGAAATTCCTCCAGTTCATTCTCTGCTGGCCCTTCCACCCTGCCCATCTCTGGCCAGTCACCCAGGTACTTTTCTCAGCACAGATCAGCCTGGCAGCTGCAGGGAGCAGGGACCCCAGGAAGGTGACTTCCCAGCAGCTCAGCACCTCAGAATGTTCCCAGGAACTCCTCCTTCCTCCCAGGGACCAGGAAAATGCACTTGGAAAACTGCCCCTCCTGATCTTGATGATCATGAGAGCTGGACACACCCCAGCAGCAGCAGGGCACAGGACCTCCCTGAGACCTCCCAACCCAGCATCATCTCCACCCCATTGGAAGGAGCTCAGCATTTCCAGCAGGAATTCTGCTGGCATTTTGGGCTGGAAATATTCAGCATTTGCCACTTTGCCTCCCTGCTTGTTTTGGGCACGTGTTGATGCAGATGAGAGTATCTTGCTGCCAGAAATGCCTTTCACCCAGGACTTTGACAATGGTGAGATCATTTATCTTCTCACAGGTATTTTCCACTCCTTTTGTCCCTCAGTTTTCTCCCTGGAGCAGGAAACACCCAGGATGTCAGATCTTTCCTGGGTTTGAGTCTCCCCTGTGCAGAGCAGGTTTGGAGGCTCCACCACAGCCCCCAGGACCCCTCAGCCCATCCCTGTACCTGCTGCTCATCCAACATTCATGGGCCCACGCAGCTTCTCCCCAACACCCTGCTTTCAACAATAGGCAGGGACAGGGTGAAAAGTGGGTTGTACCTGCTCCCATTTGTCACCCCAGAAAACCTGGCCAGATGTCATGGGTTGTTTAATGACACAGGACTTTTCACAAAATGTTTTGGGTTGGAATGGACCTTAAAGACCATCCAGTCCCAACTCTCTTGCATGGGCAGGGACACCTCCCACTCCACCAGACCGGGTTGCTCTAAGCCCCATCCAACTGGGCTTTGAACAATTCCAGGGATGGGGCAGCTACAGCTTCTCTGGGCAACCTGGGCCGGTGCCTCACCACCCTCACAGGACATAATTTGTTCCTAAGGTCTCATCTCAGTCTCCCTTCTTCCAGCTTGAAACTCTTCCCCCCCCCTTGTCCTGTCATTCCCTGCCCTTATCAAAAGTCCCTCCCTATCTTTCCTGCAGACCCTTCAAGCACTGGAAGAATGCTGTAAAGTCTTCCCAAAGCCTTCTCTTCTCCAGGCTGAATATTTTCTTCCCTGAATTTCTTCCATGAACACTTTCTTCCCTCCATGTTTCTGAGGGCTTCCTGGTTTGAGGCACATCCTTGGCCCTGGGTGCATCTTGCAGCGAGGAGCTTTGCCACCTGTCTCTGCACTGCCTTTCTCTTGTCACAGTGGTGTCACCTGCAGCTCCTTGGCTAGGTGTGCTGGGAGGACACTGGTGGGACAGGCTGGCAAAGACAGGGCTGGTGCAGCAGAGATCAGCCCAGACACCTGAGTCCCAAACAGTTGCTGGGGAGAGCAGAGGGGTGTTGGGGTGAGGGGGGTGCTGGACCAACCTTTGATGTGTGAGGAACAATTTGGAGACTCACACAGATGGCTGTGGTGATTGCTGGTGATGTCAGACTGTCTTTTCCCCTCACCCTCCTCATACTGTTCCAGACCTTGAATCTTCACCAGGTCTTCCTGCTCTCCTAGCTGTTCCTCTCACCCTCCACTCTCCCTCCCTTGCGTGGGGCTGGGGAACCAGGCCTGGACCTCCACCCAGCTGAGAAGGTGGGCACAGCTGACATTCACGTGGCTTCCAGTCCTGTTCCCTATCTTCTCCCTTCAATGTGTGCTTCACCTTTGGCACCTGCCATGTCTGGATGAGCTGTTTCACACGATGGCAGTTGGCACACCCAGCAACCTGCATCACCCTCCTCCCTTCTCTCTCTCAGCCACTCATTTACCCAAGTGAGGACCTTCCTCCCCAGCCCACAGCAGCATCTCCCCTGCCAGCTCTGGAAAAGACCTTTTGCAAATGACCAGAGGATGTCCAACACCTCTGGATCTTCTTGACTCCTCCAGAAACTATTTCTGAGGTGGGATTTCCCTCTGCAAAAGCTGGATTCAGGCTCCCCTGTGTCATAATTCATCCATGCATCACCCAGCTCTGCCATTTATTTCAGCTTTGTGAGCACCTGCCCACACCACATCTGATCTACTCATCTGTAGTCTCTTTACCTCCATCATCCTCTTTAAACTCGCCATATTTGCTGCTTCTGGCCTTCTGGGGCAAGCCAGAGGCAGTGAAGGTGAGGCTAAGCAGCAGGTGACACTGCAGTGAAGAGTCTGATGTTCAGCCCCTGATCTCCTTGGACTATAAATGTCTTTGAAATTCCCAGCACACCTACTCTGTGTTGCTGCTCCATTGCCCTCCTGCGTTGGAAGGACAGACCTTTGCTGATGTTTGCACAATGGATCTTCAGTTCTCTATCAGCTCAGTTTTGAACACTCACTCTGAATTTGGCTGCCTGCAGGTCATATTTTCTAGTGTCAAATTCCTGCTCCCTGTGCCTCTGAAGAAAGGGATACACAGAAGTGCAGGTTTCATTCCTCAGGGCAGAGAAGCTTGTTACCTCACCAGGGGCTGTGTTACTGCCTTCATGTGGATACAGCTTCAGCAAGTTCAAGAGCATTTGTCTTATTTCTGATCAGCTTCTTTAAATTTATTTAATCCTGCTGGCTTCCGCTTAGGCTTTCCCTTCCTGTGGTTGTTCAGGATTTGTGTTTGCTAATGCCAGTGTCAGCACCCCGAGTGAAGCTAAGCTGGTCTTTGCAGACTGTCTGGGCCATATGTGACATTTAATCCTCTTGACTTTCCATTTTATCCCCTTTTAAAAATAAAATGCAGCTGTAAGGGATCATCTCTGGCTCTAAGTGTAGCGTTGCCTGTCACCAGAACAGTGTTTTGATTTCAGCCCGAGATCCAGGTCCCACTTATGTCCAAGGACCTGTGGGCTCTTGGCCACCCCAAAAACCTGAACCTATGGGTGCCCTTCCAACCTGCCTTGAGCAAGCATGCATTAGAGCCTCTTGGATATCGCTTTGGATGTCACTAGCTGGTGGTACAGTCACCACAGCAGGCGTCACTCCAACAACTTGTCTTGGATGGTATAGAGTGAGATCATGGGGTTCCCCAGGTGCCACTGGATGTGGGACCTGGTGGGTGCCAGCCCAGCTGAGCTCTTCTCCAGCCTCCAGCTTTGAGGACAGCCCCTCACCTGGATCATTTGGTCTCAAAAGCACAGACAGGAGCCATGTGAACTCCCAGGGGCCAGGACCGAGTCACTGCTAAGTTGCCAACTACTGTTTGAAGACACCTCTGCACTAGTTTGAGCCCTGCAGAGGAATAAATGCTGAGCTTAGTCCCTGCTTTGGGAAAAGGCGAGTAGAGCTCCTGTCCCCAGGTGTTGCAGTGGCACAACAAGCCCCCTGAAGCCTCTTCAGAAGTTAAGGCTGCAGAAGTTAGAAACTTTTAATGACACAACTGAGGCCCATTAAAAGTGAGGAAAAACCTCTTGGTGCTGTTAGGGCAGCAAGGTGTTCTTTCAAGCCACAGCGTCAAGAGGCACTGGCACCCAAAATGCACATGGCTGTGGACAGCCTTGCTTAATATCTTTATCCCTGATCTCGACAAAGGGATGGAGTGCACTCTCAGTTTGCCGATGACACTAAGTTGGGAAGGAGTGTTGATCTGTCTGAGGGTAGGAAGGCTCTGCAGAGGGATCTGGAATGGTTGGATAGATGGGCCAAGGCCAACTGCATGAGTTTCAACAAGACTCAGTGCCAGGTCCTGCACTTGGGTCACAACAACCCCACACAACACTCCAGGCTTGGGGAAGAGTGGCTGGAAAGTGCCCGGTGGAAAAGGACCTGGGGGTGTTGGTTGACAGTGGCTGAATATGAGCCAGCATGTGCCCAGTGGCCAAGAAGGCCAATGGCATCCTGGCTTGTATCAGCACTGGTGTGGCCAGCAGGAGCAGTGCAGGGATCATCCCTCTGTGCTGGGCACTGGTGAGGGAACATCTCAATTCTGGGGTCAGTTTGGGGCCCTCACAACAAGAAGGACAAGGTGGGGCTGGAGCGTGTCCAGAGAAGGGCAATGGAGCTGGGGAAGGGGCTGGAGCACAAGGCTGATGAGGAGAAGCTGAGGGAATCAGGGATGTTCAGCCTGGAGAAAAGGAAGCTGAGGGGAGACCTTCTGGCTCTGCAACTGCCTGAGAGGAGGTTGGAGCCGGGGGGTTCTGGAAAACAGGACTGAGAAGGAGGAACCCAGCACCAGGGGAGCTGGACACTCTTGACCTGTGTGCTCAGAAGTGCTCTCAGCCCTCCCTCCTCTGCCGCCCTGGCCATCCTGTGCTGCCTCCTGCTGCCAGACATCTGCAGGGAAAGTCGAGGTTGCCATGAGGAAGCAACAGGAGGGAGATTTTAGGCTAGAAACCTCATTTATGCTGAAAGCTGGGAGACAGCTTGAGTTGGAGGAGCAACACCAGGAAGAGGTGCTTCTGCTCTGACCAGCGACTCCATTGCTCTCCCCTCCCCAAAGATGAGGGTGCTCTCAGGTCCCACACTGATCTTTGCAGATTGGTGCCTCTGTGTGAAACTTCCCTTCCAGGTTTCCAGATTCCTCAGAGGTGAAAGTTCTCCAAGCAGTGGTTCAGAGA